GGGGGGGTAAAGCAGCAGAGGTGTGAAGCAACTAGTGCAGAGGTCAAGAAAATCTGGATTTATACATCCACTCCCCTATACGCCTTCATGGCAAAGTGCTTAATTAGTTGAGCACAGGGACAACTTTACCTTTTACTTCATTCCCCCTAAACAGATGTCAGAATAGTACTTAAAATTAGGACAGTTATTTCCTTTGCATTCTTTCAAATTAATTATTCACTAATTGTCCTATCGTTTGATGGTGTAGAGTCTGAACTACTGACAGACTCGTTAAGTGAAACAATAAATAAATAAATAAATAAACATATTCAGAACAGCTGTGCAGCATTTACTTGAAACTGACCATTATGTATGTACATTCACAATCTGCTTGTAAAGTAGAACATTCAACCATAACTTTAATTGTGCAGCTTGAGCAGCTGCCCTATAGATCAGCAGCCTGCATATGTTGCAAGTGTTGAAGCGGTGTGATGAAAGTAGATCCTGCACTTGTCATAGAAGAATAGTTCTTGCTGTGCAACAATTTTGTTAATTTGCATTTGGCAATACTGTGCTTGATGACAGATTAGCTCCCCTTTCTGTTGATACGTGATGTTGGATTTCCTGTAAAGTTTTTTGTGACTAACGGATGCAACCTGAGTTTCAAACTCAGCTTTACAGATTCTAAACACCATCCCATTACATTGCCTCTTCTGTTTCTGTAATCTATTTTTAGTGCATATCTTCCTATGTTTATCATATGCCCCTCTCTAACTGAATGGGCAACAGCACAGTGGACACTTGAGAGATGAGATGAATTCCAAGGATTTTGAAGCCTTCTAATTTTTTCAAAATCAAGGAAATTTTAGGTATGTTATTGTCTTGAACACTATAACCTGACTGCAGCTTCCCCCCCCCCCCCCTTTGGATCCAATCATCTCCCCATAGGGCTGGATATAAAACATGTCACATATTACAAATTCATGATGACTACACATCATTTGTCCTTGGTCCAATAAAATATATAATGAGGCCTCACGCAGATAGCTCAAGTTGTGAGGACAACACACACAGGTTGTGGAAAAACCACTATCAAATTCACACCTTGCCATTCCACACACTCTGGCATGACATATCATCCAGACATTTCATTACACTGTGCCATGTGTGACTGTATGAAAGCTGAGTATCCGTATTAATTTCTGTGAAGTTTAACTTCTGGTGACTAGAGTTCAAACACTGATGTGTCCCGTAATGTTGGCTTTGACCATCTCTAAGGGTCTGATTCACTTTTTGCCTCTGTTCTCTTGCTGTCATAACTGTTACTGTTCTCTACTTAAACACGTGCTTGGTTTGAAGTTTGATTACTAGAACAGTTCATGCTATCCAGGTGCTCTGCAGGTTCAAAATTTTTATGTTCATGTTGTAAGTGCTTCCTTCTGAAGCAACACAAGATCTCTTATGTTCCAAACACCACTCGTGATCTGTTTTTCTCACATGCAACATATTCCTGGAACTAAAGAAAATGATGTAAGATTAAAGAAAATTATGACTACCACACATTTTGCCATGACAGTGGCATTAAACTCCGTCATTAAATTGCATAAACTAATTTGGTAATAATTACTCCACAATCCATGTAAGAAATTAATTCTTACAGTTTTATGTTCATCCAGATATTATTTTTTTTTAGAATAGTTTATTAGCTGCAAGTTAATGATTAAAGGGTTTGCAAAGAGTTGTCATCTGGGATAAAATGCTGTGTAGGCCACTGAAAGTTAAATGATGATGTGGGGGAAAATACCATTTCTATCATCGGGGTTGAAGAATAAGCCAAGCAAAAAACTACATGGCATTATATTTGAAAAGACAGAACTCTTCATAACCACTACTGTGGGAACCTCAAAACCTACAGAGGGATACAGTTTGGTGGGACAGTCTTTTGGGAGAATTGTTATACTACAAGACTTCAACTGTTAGAATTTTAAGATGATAATAACTCGAACCTATAAAACTAGCCATATTTAAGGTTAAGTAGTAAATTTCTCGCGCTCTTCTGTTTTAGTATTCAGTGGTACCAATGGGTAAATCAGAGTGGTTGATTGGCAAAGGTAAATTTCAGAATCTGATGTCATTCCAAAACATGAAAATGTTAAAAATTGTTCTTTCGTTTTTATTATGTCAGCTATGTTTGTTTAGGGATGTTATTTGAATAAAATTAGTGCAGGAGTAGCTTACAATTTTTCTAATTTCGACGGAATATTGATATATATTTTGACTATGTTTTCATGTCGACTGCATTTGTTGATGACGATCCGTGCCTATGTGTGAAACAAAAATTTTGCAATCTATTTCTGAATAATTGTGCTTTGGTCTTGTTCAGATGGTCCGCAGTCTTATTTAATAATGTTTTTAAAGTAATGTAGCACAAAGTTTGAAAGAAAATAAGGCTGAACTTTTCATTTATTGAATTGGTTAGAGGAAAATTTCAACTCTGACCGCTAGACGTAGGAAAATTAAATTTTCAGCAGTAACAACCCTGGATAGCGAAATATGGCCGTGTGTACGAAGTGGTGCGAATTTAAATTCTATACTCGACTTCTGAAAGGAACTTACCAAAATTCAAGAACAGTTAGTTCTTCTGCTAGAGTAACTTCCTGTGCCCATGGGGAACCTGAAAGGAAACATAAGAAATATACGAATACAGTAGCCTTACCACGGACTGATTTTCCTCTGCGTTTGGATTCTCGAAAGAGGATAGATCGAGATAATTACGTACACGAGGTGCATTAAATATACTGCCGCATCTTCCGAGAGTAAATTACACATGTTTGAACTCACTTCTGCCTATTCTTTGTCCATCTCGTCTCAGTCTAGATGTTGCAAGCACCATTGCTATTAGGGGCTTGGGGTTCCCAAGTGGTCCCGAAGATTACTGCCGCCTGGAATGTGACGCCGTATAGTTTGGTAGGTAGGTAGCAATGTTTCAGAGGTTTCTCCAAAGTGTTGGCAAGTACCTACCTACCAAACTGCTACATGGCGTCACATTCCATAAGGGATTTAACGCCATACTTAACAGCAATTTGGGTCTGAAGAAGTAAAGAAAAACTGATGTCAGGTGTTAGTTAATATACAAATATAAATGGTGTCCAGTATTTGACTCCACCATGTTGCTTTAGTGTCATGTCTCCCACCTTTCACTGCTCAACCTATTTAAAATAAAAGTAAAAATATTTCATTAAGCATGAGAAGGTTAAGTTTGTAAACTGTGGATTACGTGTTGCAGTAACGTTATGAAATATAAAGAACGTATTCCTGATAATTTGCAGTACAATACCAATATAGAAAATGATACAGTGTATGAAAGACATGGCAGTAAAATGGTTTATCATAAAGTATAACTGACAATTTGAGTGTTTGGGTTTAGGGTGAGTGAAGTTAAAACATTTGGGATGGATCTAGCAAACTGGAAGTATAATGTGCATTCAGGTATACATATAATCTGTATCTTGTACATTTATGGTTACCACGGTATTGGTAATTACAAGCATAAATGAAGTTCATCCAAGAAAGTAGTACAATAACTCCCTTACCTGCTCACCATAACTGTCACTAGCATCTACCCTTTATACCATACTTGCACGTTCAGTGCCTAAAGCTCAGTTCCCTTCAGAACATACAGTTTTTTAAACATCCTATGCCTGATGTGTAATTTCATCATTTTGTGTTTGGCTGCATCATATGCTGAAGCTCTAACATTCCAATATGTACTGTAGACACCATCCTCATGATAAATAAAGCAGAAGGAGGATGTATCCTGGCATATATACCTCACCATGGATGCGAGAATGGGAATGTGGAACAGGGTGCTATACAGTGGGAAGGGGCCTTGTGTGGAAGGAGAAGGTTTGGAGGAAAAGAGGTAGGACCAGACTTACACATTTTGTGTCTGTCCTCATGGTCCAGGTTGAAGGGGTGTTTGCCAGAGAAGCAATTGAAATAGTCAGATGTCACCACAGCTTCAACCTTGAGGAGATATACAAACCAAGTACAGTCTACAGTTGGATTTGAGGTTCTCAGAGCAGTGGTTGTGAAGAGTTCTGTTTTCTGGGATAGTCCAGTAAGTTCTGGTCTCAGCTCTCTTCTTCCAGACTTTCATCTTAACCGTTGGACTGTCTGTCACTGGGTAGCATTGTCCTCCACACCCCACACTCTTACTTCCATTGTGAGACCTATATGTGAGACTTCATTGGCCTTCTACTGCCTTTACTCCAAACGAGGCAACTGCAGTGTGTGATGAAGTGTCAGAACAATTTCAACATATAACATAGCTAAACACCAGAAACTGAAATTGCACACTTTTCTTCATACTGGTTTAAAATTGTGCAGGGCTGAGGGTAGTGAAAAGTAACTCGTCCATCTGTTTATTTGTCATCATGCTTTTGTTTCGAATGACACCATGACACATTTTCACTGTTCTCTTTCCAGAAATGTGAATTTTCTACTTTGTATGATTGGCAGAGAAAACATGTGCAAGGACCAGAGTTTATTCTGCATGACGGCCCTCCATTTGCCAATGGAAAACCTCACATAGGTCATGCAATAAATAAGGTATAGTTCAGTACTGATATAATTTCTTTGCATTCTAAATTATGAGTCCTGTAGACGAGTGTTTCTCAACCTGGACTATACTGTGAAGCAGTAAAATATTGTTGGGTGTAAAACGCAACAAATAACTTCACGCCTTGTTGGTTATAGCGAATTTATTCCACTCGCTGTTACAATCACACAAATTACAATCTGACAGTTACTGCCATTGGCAGTATCACAAATACTAGACTGAAATGCCAGACTACAACTGAAAGGTTGACTGCCTGGCTAACTCATAACTTGAGAACTAACTGTGAATAGTCTTCACTGCTCCTTATTTAGCCTCGTTCCGGACAACACAGAAAACAGCCACGTAATAGGCACCACTGTTGTCTGGTGCCGTGTTGCTAGCAATGCTGTCGGGAGTTGTTTCCTGCTGTGTAGCAACGGCGGCATCCCGTGTTATGTCACCGCAGGGAGAGGTGGGGTGTTGACTGGCTTACTACCATAGCAACGGCAATGCTCTGAAAGTGTTATGTCACCGCTGGCGGGGTGAGGAGTCATCCTCCATTGCGCAACACGTCACAATATTAAAGTTCTGTACTGCAGGCAATTAAAATTATACAGGTATAGCTATATCCTCAAGGATTACTGCCTTATTATGGAGAGGAGATTTGCATACTCCAGTGACCTGGAGAGCTGTGATGGCAAGAGAGTAAGCTCCTGGTAGGTCCACCCAAGCCAGACAGGTCAAATGGTAGAGGCCAGATGAAGTGTAGTCCAAGGTCATCCAGTTGTGGAGTTGGGCATGGGGCTAATGACCCCACTTCAGAAAAATTTACTGGAGGAGGCCAAGACCCACACGGGGTTGTAGCGCCAGTAAAAAGAAAGATAGATATATGTTAAATTCTTAAATAAGAATGGTGTCTGTGCTGTGTACACACACTGTGTTGAAGGAACTTGCAAGGTAAGGCATTCCTTGTAAGTAGAATCACCTTTTCCCAGCAGTTTCAAGGAAGAAAATACCTTTGGTAGTAAAAATTTTTTGGATTGATAAAACTTTTTGTTTAATTAACTCTTCATATGTGATTTTAGAGTGAATTGATGACTTTTACCTCACTATCGAGGTATCCTTTGTGTTAGGGTAACACATTTACTACCATTTTACCTGCTGGGCCAGCCATTCTACTATGAAAGCTAGTGGATTTTTAGATTCTGTCCAGTTTCTGAAACGTGTTAAGTTCAAAGATCCAGTAATTCCAAGTGTTATACCCCTTTGGAATTTACTGGATTTTGAACTTAGCTAGGTTTGAGACAGAAATGGAAGAGAACAAGGGGAAAGACAATCACTGTATGTGTCAGCTCTTTGAAGCTTTGACTACCTACAATTATTCTTTATTGTCATTGGAGTGATGTCTGTGGGATTAAGTGCCATAGATGGTGGTATCAACCTGCCCTTTGGCAGGATTAATGCTGGCACATGGTAACCTGCAGCCTATCAGGTGGTGGGACTTGCAGTGAATGTGCTAACCAGTGATGCTGAGGTTTAATAACAATTTTTAATCCTCACATAGGTTCAAAGTATTTTTTAGAGTTTCATAAAGTTTGTCTTCGTATCTGTACATTAGGTAACTTTTACTGTCTACACCAGCCTCAGAAGTCTCTGTTCACCATCTCATCTTTATTCTGGGGTAGCCCGGTTGGGCTGTGGGCTAGATTACATAGGAATCAAAGCTTGATTCCTGTTGGGCAAGAGAGTCTGTGTCTGTGTTCTCCATAGCATCCAGACTGGTTTGAAGTCCATCCAGCCTCCTATCCAATGATTACTAGAAGCTGCTTCCCTTGTGGTAAAGCAGCTAGCTTATGAATCCGACCACTCACCTCTGTCTAGTGCCAGGTTTAAGAATGATGGATCTGGCTATGATGGTATCATGTCAAAAATATTAAAATTGTGTAACATGGCTATAAGTAAGCCATTTTCTTATTTTTGCAACATGTCCATTATGACTGACGCATTTCCTGATTGAAGTATGCAGTCATAAAGCCTTTGTATAAAAAAGGTGATAAAGCTGACAGCAAACTATAGACCTCTTTCTATGTTGACTGTATTTAGTAAAGTTTTAGAAAAAAATATGTATCATAGATTAAATCAGCATCTACAAGTGAATAATATATTGGTGCAGAAACAGTTTTGTTTTAGGAAAGACTTATCAACTGATCATGCTGTTTTTTCATGTACCACTGACATACTTCAAGCCTGGAATGATAAACTTCTAACTGTTGGGATTTTATGTGACCTTGCCAAGGTGTTTGATTGTGTTAATTATGAGATATTGATATCCAAATTAGAGTAGTATGGTGTTCAGGATTGTAATTTAAATTGTTATAAATCCTATCTATCAGATAAAAAACAGTGTATCTCAGAATTGATGATGATCATGATTATTTCTCCAAATGAGAAAGAGTTAAGCAAGGAGTTCCTCAGGGGTCGGTCTTAGGACCACTTCTGTTTATTATTTATAATAGTAACTTGCAATTATGCATCAATAAATTTGCCAATGTTTTTCTCTTTGTGGATGACCCCAGTATTTAGGTCACTGGAAAAAATCATTGTGCACTTAAGCACAAAGTTGCGGATACCTTGTCTCTCATTGTAAATTGGTTTATAGTGAACAAGTTAGTCTTAAATATTAACAAAAGTACTATTATTAATTTTTCTCCTAAACAGTCTGCAAACTCTTTGCTGGTAGTATCCATTGGAAACATGGTAATGAATGAAGTCCCTGTAATAACATTTTTGGGTATACAAATTGATAATAGATTGAATTGGAAGAGTCATGTGGAAGACATGCTTTCTAAACTCAGTCCTGCTATTTTTGTAATTAGGAGTTTATCTTATTTTATGAATTTAAAAACCCATTGAAAAGTATATATTTCTTACTTTCATTCTGTCATTAAGTATGGAGTAGTCCTCTGGGGCAATTCGACTAATAATTCTAGAATTTTCAGATTAAAAAAGAAAGTAATAGGGATCATATTGGGAGTGGGACCCAGAGACTCATGTAGAAATCTTTTTAAGAAATTAGATATTTTACCATTGTTGTGAATATATTTTTTCTTTGATGATGTTTGTGATAAAATAATTTCTGTTCAGGTTCAGAGGTTCATGGCCTGAACACTAGAAGCAAAATTCAAATTTATATTCCAACTTCAAATCTTTCTGTTTTCCAGAAGGGCATTATGTTTACTGGTACTAGGTTATTTAATAGATTGCCAAAAACCATTCAAAGTCTTAGAAAGGATAGAATCAGTTTTAAAAATAATTTATTTTCATATCTCATGAATAACTCATTTTATACAGTTGATGAATTTTGGAGCATACAGTAAATAGTTAGTGTTTGTTTAGCTTTGTATTGTCTTTCTGTTTTGTTTGTTTGTGTTATGCTTGTGACCAGTTTCATGTCCATTGTATTTTTGGCTTGTGAAATGTGAAATACTTTATGTATGTATGTAATGCTACTCACCCATATGTCTTCATGGTGTGTTTAACCAAGCATAAGGATAATTTTACATTACTTTATTTTCACATTTCTGTTTTCTACTTTATCATCCAATAGATTTATAATTTTGAATTATCTGTCGCCTCCTTTCTTCACTCATTTTATCTGTGTGATCTTCCCATCATTATAATTAAGTTTAATTTTGGCATATGATCTTCAGTGTCTTTTAACACAGTTTGTACCTCTGTTTAAATGGACACCATTCTAACATTTTGCAGTTGTCTTGTGCTGGAATAATTTCACAAGCATTCATGTCTGCTGTTGAATCTGACTCGGTGAAACTTTCTACAGATTTTGAAGGACATCATCATTCGCCAAAAATTGCTTCAGGGTTATCAAATCCATTATGTTCCTGGTTGGGACTGTCATGGGCTGCCCATTGAACTGAAAGCTTTGGTTGGGGAAACCAATTTGTCAGCTGTCACCATCCGAAAGAAAGGTTTGTGTACTTAATACAAAGTTAAGTAATTTTCAAATAGAAACTAGCAGTGCCTATTTGAAAATGTTTATGTCTATAGCTACTGGCTGAAAGATAATTTGGCCATTGATCTATAGCTATATAGATAGCTATAGCATTCACAAGCTGAGCATATCTGAACTTGTAATTTGAATGGGAGACATTCAAAATGAAATGTCATGTTTTATTTTATGTATTTATTGTATGCCATCAGATGGCACATTTATCAACATTCCTGCAAACTTTCCGTAACTGTCATATAGAGATGTACGTTAAGTTAGTGATTCTTATTTATTACTTTCCATTCATAATGAAAGAAGTGTTAAGAAGAAGTGTCCATACTCCTTTACAGATAAATTATATCTTTTCTCTTAATTTCAGTATTGTTAAGGTGATCAAATTAACCGTAATCAGATAAATGACATACAGCAGACATACTTACTACACATTTCTTGGTTCTGTGGTCCTGTAAGGACCTTGGCCTCTCTTGTGACACGTGTCCATTATCCTCATTATTTGACTTTCTCTATCTCATCAGTCTGTCCATCTTCCATCCACCTTAATCTGGACTTTCCTATTTTTTTTTCTACCTCAGGATTGCTTTCAAATATATATTGTGACATGTAAAACCATTGCTAGCTAACAACTTGTTGAAACATGTCTCCCGGGTTATGACAGAAACATCAATTCCTAGGCAATGCATGCAGAAGCGTTTCCATTGCAACAGATAGGTGAATATTGTTCACAGAGCAACGAAAGACACATTTCGGTGACAATGGCAAAAAAAGAAAAGAAGTTGCACTGATTGTTTTATGTCCAGTGAGCGTGAAGCCATCTTATGTCAACAGAACAAGGAGTACAGGACACAGATAGTGGAGAGTCCTACCAAGTAGTAAAAGCCCAGTCCGAGAACAAAACAGAAGAGAAGAATCTGGATACAGACCAGCTCACCAAATTTGTACGAGAAGCATCTAAGAGTGAAAGTTTTGAAGACTTTGTGTGTTGTTGTTCTAGTAACCTTTTGAAGTGTTACAAGTATTTGTAGATCTGCCTGGTGGTTGCCCAATAAATCGATTCATCAATCCAGAAATCCCATTAATTACTTGTCGCCTTACTAGAATATGTGACAGTATTCTTAGCCACCCTTATTTGATCCATTTTGATCACAGATATACAGGATCTTACAAAAATAATGCTACCATTTTAAATTACTGTAATTATTTTAATTATTGCCTGAAAACAATTTAATATATTTCAAAACATAGAGAAGCTCCCTAAGTTTCATCTACCATCTGCATTCAAACATGTTTTTGTTTACTGCAACTAGGCAGCACTGTAAACGAAAATGGCGCTTCCAGAACAAAAGGTGTTCTGTGTTCTGCAATTTGTGAAGTCGTCATTGTGCAACATGATTTTTGCAAACAATTTCATAGTGATCCACCACATAAGACAAACATTCTTTGGTGGTATCAACAGTTCCAGGAGAAAGGGTGCATTTGCAAGGGGAAAAGTCCAGGACAGCCCAGAATATCAGAGGAAAATGTAAATCGAATTATGGAATCTTATTCATGGAGCCCAGGGCACGTGGTAGCGTAGTTGATTGAGGCACTATGCTACAAGTCGAAAGGTCGCAAGTTCAAGTCCCGATGAGGTTATTGGATATTTTTCAATTGACCTAATCCTTCTGGCCGCACTATGGCACTGGGGTTAACTCAGCCTCTAACAGAAATGAGTACCAGGAATTAAATAATTTTCCTGCGGAGTAAAGCGCAGCTGGCGCATAAGGCTGACAATCTTACCGCCATCTTTGAGCCGATTGTCTAGATAATGTGGGACCCTCAACTTCTCACAACCCTACGGGTCTTCATGGCCTGTTACGGGGATAGGTTTACTTTTACTATTCACGGAGCCCACATCAATTGCTAAGCCACGGTAGCCGCAAGTTAAGCATACTTCAAACAGCACTATGGAGAGTTCTACGCAAATGATTGGTTATGAAAGCTTAAAAATCAGTTACTGCAGGCCCTAGCCCCTCTGGATAAAATGAGCAGGTTTAACTTTTCCACAGAAATGCAAAGGAGACTGGAAGAAGATGACACCTTTTCATGTTGTCTCATTTTTTCCAATGAGGCTACCTTTCAATGAAGTGGAAAAATGTATTGCCATAACATGCGAATGTGGGGCACAGCACACCCACATGAAGCAATTGAGCATGATCGTGATTCACCTAAACTAAATGTCTTCTGTGCCATATTCTTCACAAAGATATACGGGCCATTCATCTTTGCAGAAACAACTGTCTCTGGCTTCTTGTACCTGAACAAGCTAGAAAACTTGCTGTTTTCTGAACTGAATCAAGATTTTGATGATTGCATCTTCTAGCAAGATGGGGGCTTTGCCACATTTTCATAGGGAGGTTCTTGAAGTTTTGAATCATATGCTTCCTCAGTGATGGATGAGATGCCATGGGCCCAATGACAATCCATTGCTCTGGTAGCCACCCAGGTCCCCAGACCTGACACCCTGCGATTTCTTCTTGTGAGGCTACATGAAATACACTGTCTACATGCCTCCATTGCCCAGGAATCTGCAGGAGCTACGGAATCGAATGGTGGCTGATTTGGGAGGAGTAACAATGGATATGTTGCAGTGAGTCTGGCAAGAAATTGACTCTCAGTTGGTTATGGGCTGTGTGACACAAGGTGCACATATTGAGGGTTTATAATGAACAGGTATGAAACTTCGGGAGTTTTTCTATGTTTTGAAACATATTAAATAAATTACAGGTAATATAAACTATATTAGCTCAAATGCTTGAATGATTATGGTATGACCTGCAAAGTGAACCACATCTCTACATGGACTCTTTAACTGTGGTGTATACCTTATTTTTTCTCACATTTTTTCCATTTGTCATGGACAAGGAAATGGAAAGATATTTGGAGAAATCTGCAGTGGGTCCAGCAGTTTTAAACTTGAAACTTTGTCTCAGAAGCCCAGCACCTTATACCTAGGTCACCAGGCCCTTGGGAGCAGGGATGGCAATGAATGTTCAGAACTAGAGAATTGCACCACATCCATAGAAGAGCCTGGGGGAATGACCAACACATATTAAACCGAAATTGTTATAACACGGGCTCATTAACTTGTTCCTGGGACTGATAGTCTGATGTCTTAAGGCACTGGAATCAGCCTTCTCAAAATGAGGCTGCATGGTACAAAGTAGATGAAGTGTATCTGTGTATCTGTGCCTGCCCCCATTTCCAGCCCTGCTTCTACATTAATTAGATGATTAGGAAGTTATTCCTTTCTTTACCATTGACTTATTTTTATACAGCTGAACAGTTTGCTAGAGAAGCAATTGCAGACCAAAAAGAAGCATTTCGTTCATGGGGTGTTATGGCTGACTGGGATAAATGTTACTTCACATTTGATAAGCAGTACGTGAAGAACCTATTGCGGCAGTTTCACAGACTGTATGAAATGGTATGCATAACTCTGTATCTGATTATATTTTAATTTTTGCTAGACTTGTTATGCTTTTCATGAAATTTAAATATATTAACTTACCTATCTCATTCCTGCTTCAGACCTAAAGAGAACATGTAAAAGCATCGTGAAATTTACTCCATACTTCTGCCAGTATATATGATAGCTGTTAAAGGAATATGCAAATATTGTTGGAATTCTTGGTTGTGCTTTGAGTCTTCATTCCCGATCTTTTTCTTTTAATTACGTGAGTAAACAGTAATTCCATCTTTAAGAGTTTAGCTTGTATATTGTAGCATGTGGAGAGCCATTACAAGGCTATAGCACAGTAAACAGCTTGTCAGCATAACGGTGGTTGCGCACACAACATAGGAACACCTCACATCCGCAGTGATGTCATGCAATGGTAGGAGAGCTGTTGGAAGCGGTGTTGCCATGCTGTCTGGCACCAGGTGGACAATGCCGCTGCAATGGAACATGTGATACCATGCCCTCCACATGAACAGAGGAATGGCATTTTCTGTTGGGTCAACACTGAGGCTGTATCACTCAATAGACTGAGTCGAGCTAATGCAGTGGAGTGGAGCTAGTTGGTTGGTGAGTGAGTGAGTTAGTGGAGTGCTGCGGTTCAGTCCTTATGAGCTGTTGCTCTAAGAAGCTGGTAGCTGAGGCATGGGGACAGTTTGGGAACCCAGAGTAAGGGGAACATCAGTAGTTGGAAGCCGTTATTAGGCAATGACTGGTGAAGGCACAGCAGACTCAAAAGACTTAGTGCGTGCTGTAGTGAATTGTAAAGTGTGTGAATTAGCAATAGTGCTGTAGTTACTTGTAATTATGATCTGTGAGTGTTCAGTAAATCTATTTACCAATGCAAACCCTGTCTATAGTCACTCATATGTGTGACAATATAGCGATGCTGACAAGGAAAGGAGTCATATTCTGGATGGAGAGCAGGTGCTTGTGCTTTGCACATGAAATGTCTGCAAAATCCCTGTTATTAATTGCTAATTCTTTTTTCTTTACAGGACTTAGTTTATCGAGATGTAAAGCCTGTATTCTGGTCACCATCTTCAAGGTAATAATTACTGAGAAAAAAACAAGTGTGGTGTGGCTGGTATTAGAACAGATGGTACTAGTAGTAATGCTTGTTTCACTTTTCATATCTTAGCCTAAGAATAGAAAGAGGGTTATATTATTTACATCTGATTCCAGGTTATTGTTCCTTTCATATTGTGACATAACTACTTAATCATTGTCTGTTGTGTGGTAATGTAACAATGCCCAGCCCATTGCTGGGCAGCAGCTGCTACAGCAGTTGGAGACATTGTTTTCTGTGCTGTCTGTGCCATAGTTATATAAGGAGAGCTCAGCCAGAAGTATAAGTGGAACAGGAGGTGAGGTTGAATACTTTCACTGTAGCCCTGTGGGTCATAGGAGGCAATGAAAATGGAACCCAGTCTGGGGGAGTATAACTGGACCACCCTGTTCCTGGGGTATATAAATATGAGGACCTCACCCTGCAGGTTGGGGAGTCTCGAATTTGAGACAGTAAAATGTGGTCATGAGTCCTGCAGGACTCAGACCTGAGAATCACTGCACTGGCAAGGGCCAGCAGTAATTGTAAATGACAGATCCATCCTCTTGTCAGAGGGGATGTTACATGAGGACTGTGAAAGCAAGTGTTCAGTTAAAAAAAAGAATTGCTGGTCATAAGTCTCAAGGGGCTTGGTGGCAAGACAAACTGATTGGTGGTAAACCACCAGTTGTAAAGTAGTTTTCGTTTTTTAGTTGGGGGTGGAGTCCAACTGGGTCCACTCAGCACGGCGGCCACTGATTGGCCTATTGTAGCCTGCCCCAGGTGATTATGATGATGGAGGATTTGGTGGAATGAAGATTGGCAGGGGAAACCAAAGTACTCGGAGAAAACCCGCCCCAGCACCACATTGTCCACCACAAATCCCACTTGACCAGACCCCAGGATCGAACCCAGGCCGCCGCAGTGGGAACCCAGCAACTAACTGCTTGAGCTATGGCGTGGCCAGTTGTAAAGTAACTCTGACTTCAACTTTGAGTTGAAGTGGAAAGTCAATCATGAGTTGAGAATCACCGGCCAGCGAGGACAACAGCTGTTGAGCACAAAAGCAATGAAGGGAATTTGTGTTGTCAAAAGTCACTACCAAGCAATGAGTATGTGAAGACATGGTGAACTGAGAAAACTTAGCACATTTTAATGAATTGTGAAGTGTGTAGATTAGTGAGGTACCTGTAGCCTAGCAACAGCTAGTGAAAAGAAGGTAAGAAGACTTAGTGTGTGCTGTAGTGAGAAGGTGAGTGCATGAATTAGCAAGAACGCTATAATTACTTGTAGTTATGATTTGTAAAAGTTCACTAAATCAATTATCAATCCATATCCCATGTCTGATCACTAACATGTGACAATATTATTATTGGATTAAGAAACTGTATAGTCTGTTAGATGGTTACCAATGTTTTGGACATGAAGATAGAAATAGTTAGGTTCTTCCAAATATTGATATCAAAATGCCAGTCTGCCTTTTACCATAATTCAGAAGACTGCAATATGAATTTTCACCGCCATGTAAACTTCAGGTCTGAGGCATTCCTCCTCAGTCAAATTCATGACCCTATGTAGCCCCTTTTATAATTTTGCATGCACATAACACTTGAGAACAGGTAATTTATTTTTATAAAAATTGTTTAAAACATTATATAAAAAATTTTAACTAAAATTTATCACTTTTTTTATTTTGATTAAAATCAGAGAAAGACAGCTGACATTTTACATGAAGACCTGCATGCTTCTTGATCATAACTCACTATATACTTACTACAGTGAAAGATGTTTGGAACAAAGTTGCAGAGGAAAATGAAACATTTTTTGTCCATCATAATTTTCTGCAAGTCTTACGGTTTTCAGGATATTAAATAAAAGGGAATGAATACTTCAAAATTGTTATACTATGTGTGCATTTCTTAATTTGCTTAGTTTTCATTAGTAATTCTAATATTTCTGCCATAACTATGCTGGGATATGGAAGAGAGAATGTCTTGAAGGAGAGTGACATGTTTTTTTACTACTCTGTCCACAGGACGGCTCTTGCCGAGGCTGAGCTGGAATATAACCCTGCTCACTGCAGCATGGCCATTACAGTCCGGCTCCTGATGCAGAGAGTCCCTGATGCCATTTGTTCTTTTATCCCACCACACATAGCTTCAGTGTTTGCTTTGATTTGGACCACCACTCCATGGACACTTCCCGTCAACCAGGCTGTTTGTTTTAACCCTGACCTGTCATACAGCCTCGTGTCTATTGATGGTCACAGTGGAGAGATGTATATTGTTGCTTCAGAATTGGTGGAAATGCTGCAACAGAAACTTTGTCGACGAGTTGAGATTGTTACCACATTTCCAGGTGCAGTAGTATGAACGTTATGCTTGTGTGAAACTAAAGGAAGTCTATAAGGATGAGTCTTATTATTCCAAGTAAATTGTGGGATTCAAATGAGTAAATATCAGGCAGTTAGATGCTGGCTTTTCAATTAGTTTTAATTGTGGGTGACTTCATGTGTGGACGAATTTGCACTGGAGCAGGTTTTTCTGCAAGTTTAGGAAATAATGGTACTAACATTGAAACCACTGTTTAAGGTTTCTTTGGGAGCAGTGGATTTAAATACTGCTCTGAGGAGAAACTTAAATGGGGGTAACTTAACTCTGGTGACATTAAAATTCAAATTTAATTGAGGGAAAATCTTTAATCAAGGAACATTAAATCACTTGCCTGTTCATGAGACCATCAAAAATGTGAAAAATGAGATTTCGTCTTGTCTTCATGTAATTAGTCTAAGCACGACAGTGTTTGTCATCATGTTGCTTCCATGTAAAACAAACACAAAATTAGTCTTGTTTGGTTTTTATAGTACTAGAAGACATCAGCAACAAACAGTGTTTCAGGTGGTATTTGTGTCAACCTTCACCAAGAAAAGCTACCTCTGTACTTATTATTATGCTTATTCTCTCAAGTTGTGTTTCTGGAACTTTTCAAAATGTGCATATTCGGTGAATCCATGAATCCATGATTTCACACTGCTCCTCACGGCCTGTAATGCGTAAGAGTGGATCTGTGGCAGGTTTCTTCTGTGGAAACTGTAGCTAGAGATGGAGTTGTCAAATTTTCTCATTGAATGTTCAGTTGGTATTCCACTAGTGATACCAAGATTTAATGCTTGAAGTGAAAGAGTCCTGAACTCAGTAATGCTGCACCCACATCATGCTGTGCTGTTGTCAAATTAATGTGATGTTTGTGGCAGCTAATATACTACAGTTCTGATCATTATGAAAGTCATGACAAATGTTTTTGACTTTTTATCTCTACAATTACAGGCAGTAGCTTAGGAGGTGCTCGCTACATTCATCCCTGCAGATCAGAACAAGTGCAACCATTTCTGCCTGCTGCACACGTCACGACCACCAAGGGAACTGGATTGGTGCACAGTGCCCCAGCCCATGGCCCTGAAGACTACCTCGTGGCTCTTGAACATTCCATTCGTATTGTAAGTAGATCACCAGGACTCATTGATTTGTGTTTCAGGGAATTTTGTTTTCTTTTTATGTAACTAGTCTGGTCCTGTTTTTGTAATACTTGGAAGCAATTGAAAGTCCCATCAATTGGCTGCAACCAAAGAGTGGCAGTCCAGTGGCAGGGTTGCTACCTTTAAGCCTCTGGGTGGACTGTGTCCCAGCATTTCTTCCACTGATGATGAAACAGCTTTCTTGCTGTCGCTCATGTGTCAACATTTTCAGTGAAAAGAGAGGTTCTCCTGGATAGAACAGAATCCTGATTGGTTTCCTCAGGCTCTCTAGTCACATACTAGGATAGTGCCTGACATGAAATTGTAAGATGTGCTGCTTTGTGCAGGAATGTTTTGTGGATGAGGCTGGCTGTTACACAGAAGATGCGGGCCCTGCTCTGCAAGGACTGTCTGTCTTATCCGAAGGGAACGAAGCAGTGATGACTCTCATGTCTGAGAATATTCTTCACTCGGAGCAGCTGGTGCACAGTTACCCATATGATTGGCGCACCAAGCAACCTGTCATTCTGCGTGCCTGCTGCCAATGGTTTATTGACACCAATGCAATCAAACAGAAGGCCATTGTAAGTTATGCTGCTTCAGAGATTTTTATACATTTTCATTTAAATGCTAAGAAATGTCACCACTAGTACTAGTTGGTCATTACTTCACTATGCATTTGTGAATGGGATGGTTTCTAATGAACATGAGTCAGGTTCTAATATTGGTTTCTTCCTGTGAGGTCCACCAGCTTTAACCCTTTCGTACCCAACTTAATTTGTAACATAGGATTTGAGATTCTTGCAGCAGTGGTTATGAAGAGTTCTATCTTCTGGGATTTAATTCTGTGTAATGGTCTGTGCAGTGTAATGACCCATAAGATAGGACTTCCACTTTATTTTAAATTCCATAGATCCTTTCAGGTCATGCATGCCATAGGATATAGAACATGTCAAAATACATAAACACATACATAAAAACAATGGACCCATCAACATGCAATACAGTCACAATACAAAATTTGTATATAAAATATTCAAATATGATCAAATTTATGCAGATATAGGATTATCATTGTCACCATCATAAAATAATACAAAAACCTATTCAGAATATAGAAGTTTGATGCAGTTATCTCCATCATATAACTACAAATACTTAATTTAACAGTCCAAATATAATACATTTCAGCAGCATTTAAAAATTAGAATATATAATAAAAATTCAGTATATATAATCAGCTATTTCATAGCAAGAACCTTAAAATTTGGAAACTATTAATTAACATATTCCTCTACAAGATAGAAGGAAATGAGCTGTAAGAAACCATTTGCGACCGTCTTCATTGTTTACTGTCAGGTGTTATTTAAAACAGATGGTCTATTACAATAACATACTTCCATCAAATTTATACCCATAAATGCCCAGCGACTAGACAGTGGGTAGTACATCATGTGGAAAATCAACCTAACAAACAATTCAAGAAAATATCTGTATTACTCCATTTTACTACCTTCTGCTTCTCTTCCTCCTACTTCATCACCTCATTACAAATATAAATCACTCCATCCAATGTGACCTGTAAGTCAAACTCATCACCTCATATTTTACATCTTTTAATTTCCTTCTCTCTCCTTATTGCTAATGAAGCATGCGTACTTTGTTTAGTATTTCACAAAATGAAAGAAAACTAATACTTATTGTAGTGCAGTTCAGTAATGGTTATGATCATTGGCTTTGTAATGATTGATTTATATCTGCAATAGATGAACATAAAGGCCAATGATGTAGGCAAAATAACAGGCATTGAATTTGGAAACTGTATGTACTGTAAACTGGTGTACACCAGGAAGATTGAACAAATAATATTTAGCACTATTTAGTCTGAGCATCATTAAATAAACCATAAATGAATAAGCGTGTAAAAAGACTTAAAATGATTGTTATTAATAACATTGCAGGAAGCTTTGAAAACAGTTAAGATCTTTCCTGAGCATGGTGGCAGTGCAAAGAGTGGAGGTGGATTATTAGCACAGCTTGAACGACGGCCGTACTGGTGCATCTCTCGCCAGAGGGTATGGGGTGTCCCTTTACCAGTGTTCTACCACAAGACTTCTGGAACCCCCATCCTCACAGAGTAAGTTTTCACTTTCTCTTCATATTTAAAGAACTTTTGGTTTGGCTTGGGGAGGAGCTTCATAATTTGTACTGACCTAGCATTGCTAGGGTGTTTTAAGTCAAGAATGTGATGTGTGGGACATGTGGCATACGTGGCAGAAAAGAAAACTGCAAATTGAAATACTATTTGGGAAACTATAGGAGACAAGACCATGAGGAAGACTTAGGCATAGACGGGAGGCTAATACTGAAGTTGGATATAGGGAAGTAGGATGTGAAAATGGCGACCGGATTGATTGACCTGACTCAGAATATGGTCCATATAATGTATATGTTCCCTTTCTGCCATCACTGTTTCCTTATGCGTAACTACAAAAAATGTATCAAATTCTATGGTTATAAAACTTATATTTTGGTGTCTTAGGGAAGATAATTTACTGTGATAGCACGAATGGGGGAGAAGAGGAATGGATATAGGATATTGGTGGGAAAGCCAGAAGGAAAGAGACCACTGGGAAGACCAAGGTGCAGGTGGGTAGACAATATTAAAATGGATCTTAGAGAGATAGGATGGGATGGTATGGATTTGATTGATCTGACTCAGGGTAGGGACCAATGGAGGGCTCTTGTGAACATGGTAATGAACCTTCAGGTTCCATAAAAAGGTGGGAAATTTTTGAGTGGCTGGACAATTGGTGGCTCCTCAAGAAGGGCTCAGCTCCATAAGTAAGTAAGTAAGTTCTGTGGCCGCATCATAGCTCAAGTGGTTAGTCAATGGCTTCCCACCATGGCGGCCTGGGTTCGATCCCGGGTCTGGTCGAGTGGGATTTGTGGTGGACAAAGTGGCGCTGGGATAGGTTTTCTCCAGGTACTTTGGTTTCCCCTGCCAATCTTCATTCCACCAAATTCTCAATCATCATAATCACCCAGGGCAGGTACAATAGGCCAATCAGTGGCCGCCATGCCGAGTGGACCCAGTCGGACTCCACCCCCCACTAAGTGAATTTAAAAAAAAAAAGTAAGTTCTGTGGTGGGGCTTAGTAATAATAGGGTTGAACTACCAAACAAATCTGCTTGTTATCCGTGTATAACACATTTCCATACTACAGAATCCATAATTTCATCATATTTTGTTGTAGCATACTAAAATTCTTTCAGGCAATGAGCATTGTCATTGTTAATGATATTGTAACAGATTTGATAATCAGTCACAGATACATTGGTTTGTTGCTCAACCATGACTCAACTGATTGCCCGACAGAATTTTATTGCTTTGACTTGCTGTAAAAGCTTAAAATCTATTCTTGTGTGTAGTGGTTCTACTTACAGATTTTGCTCATTTTACTAGGTTTTTAGGCGTTCTTTACAAAGAAAAAAAGAAATAAGTGCCTGTATACTGTTCGACAAATTTTCTTTGAACATGACATGGGAGACTTACTAGAAGGTGTTGAACAGTTCCAATTTTCAACCACATTGATACACAATAAAGCCTAGTTTATGTAAGCCCATAAATGCATATTTTCTTATGTCCCATAATCAATTTCTCAGGTACTGATGAAGGTGAATATGGGAGACTTCCATCATGTTTTGTGATATTGGAATCCTATATTTAAGCATCCTGTTGCGTTACTATATCTAAAACTGTTTATGTGTTACACAGTCCATGAAATATGGACAAATTGTTCCTTCTTTTTTTCACTTTCACTTTTGACATGTTTCATCCCTAAACAGCCATCTTCAGCTGTTTTACTATGCTAAAACTACTACACTCAACTATTATCCATTCATCACATATGCAAACAGCATGCTTCATGATTCAGAACTTCATAATCATAGTCTCACTAGTATGCGCTAAAATAGCATATGCTGTAGTTCACTGAATTTGAATCAAATAGAATCTATTAAAATTTTTTATAAAATTTTTTCTTTTTTAAATTTCGTAAAATTCGTATTACACCTCACAAGGGGCATTGCCCACTTATTTAGATCTCTTTCCTTTTCTTCAAAAGTTTTATTGCAGCAGCCTGTTTTTCTGTTCGTAAGCCTGTTGTGGTACATCTGCAATCTGTAATCTACAAAATCACACATGTTAATATTGTTTTTGATTGTTGTTACTATTGTTATGTTATGTTTGTTTACTTAATATTCACTTTGCCCCTTGATTGTGCGTTGTTGTGAGATGGTACTGATCTTCTGCCGTGCTGATTCATAATGAAGCCAGGCTTGTGTAAGGTCATGAATGGGCTTTTCCATGTAGCCCATAAATCAGTTTATGAATTCTGCTGAAAATTAATTTATACAGCTTCCATCAGGAATTGTTGGACAGTTCCAGTTTTAAACCATATTGATCCAAAATAAACCCTGGTTTACATAAGGTCGTAATGGACATTTCCATATAGTCTGTAAATTTTTATAGATTTTGTTGAAATTTGATATAGAAGACTTTCGCTAATTTGTATTTTACTGTTCCCATTTGTAAGTAATCTTAATACATTTTGAAGAATGCTATTGGTAATTTTGTGTACATTATTGACTGCAACATTTCCAGTCTTGTTATCTTGTCTGATTTGTAGTGCACTGTAGTAACTTCATTCTTGTTGCATACAATCTGCTTATGTCTCTTAGGCCACATCAGAGTTTTTTTATCATAATTTATATTTTTTTCAGATCCTTAATTAATCATCTATGTTATTTGCTGGATGAGCATGGTAGAGATTTCTGGTGGACTCTGCCCTTGGACAGACTTGTGCCAGAGGAAGTGCTATCAGAACATGCAGTTTCACTAGATGAACTGGAGAAGGGGCAAGTACGTTTGGTGAACTTAAGAGTAATATGTAATATTTGAGAAATACTGAGGGGAAAATGAGGATGGGTAAAATTAAAAATGAAGTTTTTAAAGGAGAAGTTGTAATTCATAATTAGTATGTAGGGTTTAGAAATAAGTTATTATAATGGTTTGGCCATCAAGTGGAGGAACTGTTTTGGAAGAGAATGTGGACCTGTCATCTTGGCAGATTACTGATGAATGAATGAATGAATGAATGGTTTGGCCATGTGAAAAGAATGGGTAGAACAAGGATACGGGGAAAAGTGTTAGAGTTAAGACATTTATGGAATGACCCAGAACAAGACTGTTCAGCCAGACATAGAAAAACATCAAGAAGAGAGGAAAGAGCTGGCAAGAAATTGAAAAGGAAAGTCTGTGGAAAGAAAGGCGAGACTGGAGACATTTTGTTGATCAACTGGTCCCCAGCCCCAAACCCCACTCCCAAAATCCATATGCTTATCTAATTAAGCACTACACCATGAAGACATGTGGGTGAGTGGGTGTATACAAGGTGATTCAAATATGACCGGGACTAATTTTTTTTTAAAAACCATAATTGCCAAACACTTACTTGCACATGTCAGTCTTCAACGTACTCCCCTCTGGAGTCAACACATTTTTTCCAATGTTCTGGAAGCATCCTGATGCCCTTTTCAAAAACGGCTTGTGGTTGCCGGCATATCCACTCCCAAACAGTCTGGATGACAGCGTCCAGAAACTGCATGCCTTGCAAGTCTGATTTGAGCCTTCCGAACTGGTAGAAATCACTTGGGGCCAAATCGGGACTGTACGGCTAATGTGTCAGAAGGTTCCATTTCAATTTCCGAAGGGTTTCCATTGTTGTTTTGGCCGTATGGGGGCGTGCATTGTCTTGAAGGAAGGCTACCTGCTTTCCACCTGTCTTCCACTTGGATCGGATCTTTTCCTTCACATCTGTTGCCAGGAGGTCTGAGTAATAAGCTGCATTGACTGTTCTGGCATCAGTCAGAAAGTTTACATGGATAACCCCCTGCCAGTCCCAGAAGAACGTTGCCATCACTTTTCCTGCCGAACGGCTTCTCTGCGCTCTCTTGGGTTTGGGAGAACTGGTATGCCACCACTCGCATGATGACTGCTGGGACTCGGGAATGAAGTAGTGCACCCACGTTTCATTGGTGGTCACTATAGACTTCAGAAATGCATCACCTTCATCTTCAAACTGCTGTAGGATACAACTGGCAACTTGCATGTGCACCATTTTGTTCACGTCCCTCAAACTGCCTGGTACCCACCGTGCATTCACCTTGCAATAGTGCAGGTGGTATTTCACAATGTCTTCTACACTACCAACACTGATGGACGGCATTGCTCCAAGTTCCTTGATAGTGATGCGCCTGTTCTCACGAATAAGTGCATCTGCACGATCAATGTTTGGCTCGGTGACGGATGTTCACGGCCGACGATCATGCGGTTCATTCTCGACGTGCTCTCTGCCCCCTCTGAAGCACTTACACCATTCAAACACATGGATCCATGAGAGACACTCGTCCCCATACTGTTGTTGGAGTCTGTGGTGAATTTCAGAGGATGGGACGATTTCTCTGACGAGGAATTTGATCACAATGTGTTGTTCCACGCTCCGCGGTACCTTCTATTCACTCATCACTCTAGCAACTCCCAGACAGGACTGAACAGGTTCTAACCCGAACAGGAGGTAGGGTGGAGGTTGTGGCTTCACTCTCTCAAGATCGCACAGCTGCTGCGCACTGCAGCTTGTTTACACACATTTCAGTCCTGGTCATATTTGAACCACCTTGTAGGGCAACATATTCTTGACCTTAGCACTAAGTGGAGGCAAGTGGTCAGCTTCATGGCCTATCCTCTCCCCCTCACCAGGAAATGGACCTCTGGTATCCATTGGATAGGTGGCTGGGTGAGCCCAGAACTGTTCTGGACAATGCAGAGAGGAGAAAAATCTTGTCTGCACCAGGATTCGAACTCCAACCCTTCGGCCATCCAACCTGTAACCATTCACTATACTAGCTGCACTAGTGACTAATAAAGTAAGTAAAGGTATCCCTGTAACAGGCTGTGGAGGCCCATAGGGTTGTGAGATATTGAGGTTCTCACATTTTCTAGACAATCGGCTCATAGATGGTGGCAAAGTTGTCAGCCCTGCATGCTGGCTGCCCTTTACTCCAAAGAATATTCCATGAATATTCTTGGTACTCACTTCTGTCAGAGGCTGAGTCAACCCCAGGGCCATAGCCACTGGAAGGATTGGGTCAATTGAAAAAAATCCAGTGACCTCATCGAGACTTGAACCCGCGACCTTCCGGCTTGTAGCATAGTGCCTCAATCATCTATGCTTACTGCATGCCCAACAGTATTGTATAATATTAAATTTAAATGAAGCTAGAAGAGGAAGAGGAGGAGGAGTGACATCTTGTGTGATATAACAGCATATCAGAGGTATGCTATGGTACTTCTACCGGACTACATGGAATTACATCCCAGATCCTACTCTTCATAGTTAGTGCTCTGAGAACCTCAAATCCAACATAAGAAGAAGAAGATTTGTTCAAAATCATGCCAATGCATTTGCTTATAATAGTGCCTCAGCTTTTGACTCAAAACTGCAGTGTGTGTGGTGCCAGGTTTGTGATATGCATTTGTTGCTTGTTATAAGGACATCCTGGACATCTGGTTCGACAGTGGTTTCTCATGGTCATCTGTTCTGAATGGGCAGAAGGTTGCTGACCTTTATCTAGAGGGTCTCGACCAGTTCAACGGATGGTTTCAGTCATCTCTTATGACCTCTGTGGCTCTTCGGGGGCAGGCTCCTTACAGGTGTGTACAGTGGAACCCCTATTTATTGTTCCTCAATTTAAAATTCTCCCTCATGTAGCCAATACTCTTATTGTTTAATTATCTCCATTTAAGATTTTCCTCAGTTTAGCTTTCACATCCACTGGTCCCAAAGGGAAATCTGAATGAGGGATTCACTGTATTTAGTAATGCTATTGACTTAGAGAAGACATCCCAAATACTCAGACCACTGCTGGGTTCATTGTACACCTCTGATCTTGTTAGGTCCCTGACACTAATGCTAGTGCCAAAAGCATCCTTATTGAGGCTCTGTGGATATCTATTGGCTGAAACCACGCAGAGCTAAAGATCTCTATTTTGTGCCTAGCCGAAGTGGGCATAGACAAAGCATGTGGCAGTAGGATTCTCCCTCCTGTCCACACATCCTGCACTTGGCACCTTCCAAGAGGCTTGTAATATGTGGTTGCCACCTCAGTCAGCAGCCCTCATAGCAACGTATACCAGAAGTGCAACAAAAGAAAAAAATCTTTCAAATACTGATGCTCATTCGTGGTGTGCTGCATCTGTCTTAGGGTCTTTTTGGATGTGGCACTCTGTAGCCTAATGGATGTTTATGGACATAAAACTTCAAAACTTAAGTGGATATCTACAAGACTATACTGTTTGTCCTGAAGATGGAAGCTGCACATTTCTCCAAATTTTAAGTAAACATCTAAGGTTCTGCATTATGTCACATTCCATACGACAACAGTCCTCATAGTCACTGCCTCCAGGACCTCAAATATCACAAGTTCTTCTCTGATTTTTATAGAGCAGTGTTTGTTCATGGCTTTGCTGTTGATGCAGAAGGTCGCAAGATGTCCAAGTCCCAAGGAAATGTGGTGGACCCTCTGGACATTACCCATGGAGGACAAGACAAGAAGAGTGAACCTGCTTATGGTATTGACACACTAAGGTATGGTTTCACTCCTCTGGGATGTCTTCAAAGTAATCATTTTTGTTCTCCTTTGTTAGAATTTCTGTTCTTTCTACAGTTGTGCTTTGTCTCATCTAACATGACACACTCATGTTTGTGTACAGCAGATTTAAATTACCTGATTTGATAAAGGCAAAGATGCAGTGAATTTAGGTTGTGTACATATGAGGCTTCAAGTTCTTGCTGCAGTGAATATTGAGATGACAGTCTTGTGTGTTTGATGCCATATAGTCTGGTCAGGTTGATAGCAGGGGAACTGACTCCCACAATCCCCATCCCCAAGCTCCAGGGGGAGACATGAAGATGGAGGCAGCCAGTTCCCCTGGAATTCCGATTCTTATCTACTGGACTGCACGGGATCAATTCCAGAAAACTGTAATTGTTGTACTGACTGGTATGAGAACCTCAGATCACATTGTCATACTGTGATTCATGTTGCTGTGCAGGTGGTGGGTGGCCTGTCATGCAACAGAGCACTCAAACATACCTGTCAGTCGGAATGTACTGGAGGCCAGTGCTGAGGCAGTTCACAAGATTCGCATTGTTCTGCGCTTCCTGCTGGGGACACTCCATGACTTACCCTCTGATGTTGACGTTAATAGTGAGGAGAATTTATATATTCTCGACCGCTACCTTCTGCACCTGTTGCTCGATTTCAATCAGAATGTGAGATGCTCATAAACTGAATCTTAAACATGTTTGAGGGTGCATCATCATCATCATCATCATCATATAGTGACATAGATCATTACTTTTTATCATCATGGAATTACTGGATTCTATTTTAATGTATAATTGAATCTTAAATCTCCATACCAGAGGTCTTATTTAACACATGGGACTTTTTGTCCGAGAGGTTGCGTTCTCAAGTTATGATGTGCCCTCAAGAGATGTTTTATATAGGCCATAGCTTACTGTCTGTCAGTTTTGCCATGTTGCAAGGTGTATTTCAAAAGTAAGAATCATTTTATCATAAAAATTACATGTTATTACTGAAGAGGACTGTGCATGAACTGTTGCTGACAACTAAGCCATGATTGTACCCACTTACCTCCACCTAATTGGAGACTGGAACTGTATCTCCACAGGCAGGCCAAGATCCATTGGAGGATGCAGCATCTGTTCTTTACCTCTACATATGTTTACATATATGTGGCTTATGCACCCAACTTTGGAAACATAGAAACTTGACTGTGATGATATGTTTTATGTACAGTTGGATATGTAGAATTCTTACCTGTCTTGCCATCATTATGAAAAGTCCTTGATTCAAAAACTGTTTTGTTGGTATGCAATTATTACAAGAATTTGTATTTTTACTTTGAAACATAATTTTCTAAATACTTTACCATTATATGACTTAGCTTTCAGAAATATGTCACACAAAATGTTGAATGTTCTCTCTTTCATTGGGTGTTGCCAAATAATTCTCCCTTCACATGTTCCCCTAAACATGGGGCTGCTGAAGCTTCTTTTATCACCTCTTTTCAGGACAGCCTGGGTACTGAAACTTTTTCATTGCCTATTTTTAGTAACTACATGGTCACTTCCTGTTGGATAGCACCCCACTCCTGTGTTTTGTTCAATCATGGATCCACCTCTGACTCACCACCTATTGCCAGCTCTATGTTAGGAAACCCCTCAAACACATTCATGAGTCCCATGGGACCCAGAACCAAGAATGACTATGCTAGCAAGGGCTAGCAGCAATTCACCTGATTCAACTGACTGACCAAACACATTAACCTGAAGATGGCAACTCTAATGTTTGCCAAAACATTGAGAACCTTCAGTGTTTGGTGTGGCATATTCTGAATACAAAAGCAGTTCATGAAACTCCAGCCACAAAAACCTGTGGACAAGGATATTAGGCCATGCCACAGCTCAGGCCGTTAGTCGCAAGCCTCCCACTGCCACGGCCTGGGTCTGATCCCAGGTCAGGTGGTGTGAGATTTGTGGTGGTCAGTATTACACTGGGGGAAGTGTTCTCTGACTACCATGGTTTCTACTGCCAATTCTCATTCCACCAAGTTCATGGGTTTGATTCCCAATGAGGTCATTAGATTTTCTATTGACATAATCTTTCCAGCCACACTATGGCCCTGTGGTTGACTGAGCCTCTAACAGAAATGAGTATGAAGGAATCTTCCTGGGCAGTAAAGAGCAACTGGCGCATAAGGCTCAGAACCTTACTGCCATCTTTGAGCTGATTATCTAGAAAATATGGAAGCCTTGCTGTCTCACAACCCTATTGGCCTCCACTGCCTCTTGCAGAGATAGATTTTTTATCACTGGTGCTATCTAGTATCAACACTGACAGCATCATTAAATAACAAGAAGAAAGAAAAAAGAAAGACAAGTATTTAACTTTTATTATAAATAATGGAAGAAAAATAACTGTCTGCCCACCAGGTGAGCCAATGTTATGAGAATTACCAGATCAAACGAGTCTGTACCATGCTGATCAACTTCATCACAAATGAGGTGTCTGCACTTTACTGCCATCTGACAAAGGATAGGTGAGTGATGATACAACATTGCAATCATGTTGTGCCTTGCTTGGTAGCTGCAATGTGTTTTACCATTTAAAGCATGAATTTCCTCTAAACAATACTTAACACTTTGCGGACCGGTGGTGTATTTTTATGCCCAGTGCTTTTAAACATGGCGGACCGGTGGCATATTGTTATGACTTTAGGACACGTTATGTTGAAACACACTATACC